AAATCTGTGAATTTTGCGCAACTTTCCCATGGAAGAGAAAACCCCCCAGCTTGGCCACGGCCATGGACTGATGACGTCATCGCTAGCAAATTTTATTTTTGGGATTTTCTCCATTTTCGCTTCGTTTTTCATCGTTTTTGCTCAAATTTTCGTGGTAATTAATCGAAAAAAATTAATTTCATAATTTTTGCAATGTTTTATTGCCTGTTCGAACAATTTTCAAGAAAAAATAGCTCATTTTGGGCTAATTTTTTGGATTTTTTAATTTTTGTGTGTAAATAACTAAAAATTGATTGTTTTTTTTTTCATTCAATGATCTAGAAAATTATGAAAAGAAATCAGAAAAATTCCAGTTACCACGAAAATTGAGAAAAGGAGAAAAATTGAGGAAAATTGGGAGGAAAAAAACGAAGGAATATTGAGAAACAAAGAGAAATGAAATAGAATTGAGAAAAAAAGCGATTGAGAAAAATTGATAGAATATTTCACAGCATACTTGCAACGGGCCGGGCCGGGCTTTTTTTCAGAATTTTCAGGGCCCGGCCCTGCCCGTCTCTTTTCAGAAAAAAATTTTCCTGTCTTTTCAAAAAATTTTTTGGGGTCCATAGGAAAAAAAATGGAAAACCTTTCGGTCAAGTAAAAAAATTTTCAAAATAAGAGTGTCCATAAAAAATGATTTTTTCACAAAAAAATTTTGGAAAAATGACTGAAATTTCAAAAAAAAATTCAAATTTTGGAGAACCCGGGCCCGCCCGCCCCTGATTTTGCAAGTATGTTTTACAGTTCTCCATTATTTGCTTTCCGGAAATTTTGAGATTTTTTAAAATCAGAAAGAACAATATGACAATGAGAAGTGAAAAACTTTTGTCGGAATTTTTGGAAATTCAGAAATTGCGAAATACTGAGATTCTGATGTTCTGAAACTTTGAGATTTTGAAGTTTTGAAATTCGGAAATTCTCAGGTTCTCAGATTCTGAAGATCCGAAATTTTCAGATTCCGAAACACTGAAATTCTGGAGTTCTGAAATTCTGAAATTCTCTGATTCTGAAGTTCCGAAATTCTCAGATTCTCAGATTTTGAAGTTCCGAAATTTTCAGATTCCGAAATACTGGAATTCCAAAGTCCTGAAGTTCTAAGAATTCTGAGATTTTCAAGCTCTGAAATTCAGGAATTCAGAAACTCCCTCAAAAAAAAAGTGTACCCCCGAATCACAAGCGTTGTACCCCTAAATGAAATGGGTTGTACCCCAGAATCATTGATAGTTTGTACCCCCGAATCGTTGTACCCCCGAATTTTTGTCCCCGCGAATTTTGTACCCCCCGAATCACCAATTTTGTACCCCTAAATCAGTTGTACCCCCTTGTACCCCCGAATCATTGTACCCCCCCCCCCCCGAATTTTTCGCCAGAAATTCAGAAATTCAGAAAATTCACAAATTCAGAAATACATAAAATTCTAGAATACCGGAATCTCGAACCATATAAAAAGTCAGAACTTCAGAAATATAAAAATTCGAAATTCCCCAAAACTTCCTAGACTTTTAGACGACTTAGGAAATTCAAAATTTCCAAGATTCAAAAGTTTGGAATTCTAAAAATTCTAGAATTCTCAAAATTTCCAAGATCCCTCACCCAACTTTTTATATTTTCTCTTTGTTTTCCTTTTTGATCTGATCAATCTGATGCTTGATTTTTTCCGGAGCAATATGAGCAATACCCTGAAAAATACACATATATCAACATTTATTTATCATTTTTGATGCCTATTCTTTCAATAGTCCGTTTTTCTGGACAACCCACCCGAATATTGTTGAAAACATACTATGGGATTAGCCAGATATTTCCGGAAATAGACAAAAAAAAGTAATATTGGTTTTTGAGGTTTTGATCCCCCGAAAAAGGATGAAACCCACGCAAAAGAAAGAGGAAGATTCTGAAAAATCTGAAAGTTTTGAAATTTTTTATGATTCGGATAAAAGGAAGAATTCAAAATATTCTTTAAAATCTAAAAAAGCGTAAAAATTTCAATTTTTCGATTCTGGAGTTTCGGATCTGATGGATCTGAAAATCTTTTAGAAATCTTCTAGAAATCTAACTCTTGGAACCTTTAACTTTCTGGAATCTTCTAGAAATTACAGACAATTATAAAAACTTAAAAATCTAGAATCTGAAGAATTCGGAAAATTTGGAAAATCTCTGAAATTTGAATATTGAAAACTAGAATCTGAAACATCTGAAAAACCTGGAAAATCTCTGAAATCTGAATCTGGAGCGTCTAGAATCTGAAAAATCTGGAAAACTGTGAAAATCTGAAATTCTAACTTTTCCCAACATTTCAGTACAAATGGTTCCTACGCGGATATCTTCTCTCCGAACTTGGCGTCTTCTTTTTCATCTTTCTGGCCGGATTCCTATACTTCTGCTTTGATGTGTTGGCAGGAAAAGCGAGAGTTGTGTTTTGGGTAAGTTTTGGGATTTTAAAAATTCATGAAAATCCAAAAACAAATTTGTGAATTGATTAAAGTTGTGGTTGTTTTGATTAAAGTTGAGGTTGTTCCTAAGAATCGAATATGTCTTTAGAATCAGTAATTTTAGATTGTTTTTTAACTTATTCGTTTCGAAGTTCAGCTTCTTTAAAAAATTATCGAAATCGGCAAATTTTTCAAAAGTTATAATTTAGATTTTCCCTCAGTTCGGCCGATTTTTGAAATATCATACCTTTTCTCAAAATCAGTAATTCCAAATAATATTTGGCTATTTTTGTAGCTTATATTTTTACTTCAAATTATCCAAGTTTTTCAAGATCTCATTCACAAAAAAAGAATTTCAAAATAATCTGAAACTCACCAAAGAACGCCAACCGGACCGTCCACTTTGAGCCTATATATCTCACTTCTTCTAAAAGATTTCTAAAAGTTGTCAATTGATAAAATGTTTATCATGATATCAGCAAAATTTTGTTAGTGGACCACTTTTTGATACCTTTAACAGAAAATGAGATACATGGATTCAAATTTGACGAATCGGGTGACATTCAAATTTTCGTAACTTTCTTTAAAATCTATATTTTCCAATAATTTTTAACTCATTTTGAAGCTCTTTTCCCCCTCTTTTGAAATCAAAAACGTTCAAAATTTCAATTCCAGATAATCGTTGCATCTGGAGTGATCTACGCCGTCGTCCCCATCCACATCTTCACATTCGTCCTTATGCCATACTCCAATATGCTTCCAAACGCAACCGAAAAAATTCTGAATCACGCGATTCCGCATAACGTTGGCGGGATTCAGCAAATGGAAATGGGACTTGGGTGCACTTTTGATCTGAATCTATACGCCGCCAATAGAAGAAAATTGAACCCTAATGTGAGTTCTTTTTTTTGGCTGAAAATTATTTTTTCAAAAAAAAAACTACCGTAAAACCTGTAATAGAAGGGCCCTTTAACTTCCAAGTTCGAGCCCATATATCTCGATTCCTGTGAAAGATATCAAAAAGTGGTCAACTGATAAACTGTTTATCATGATACCACCAATATTTAAGCATAGGACACATTTTGGATATCTTCTACAGAAATCGAGATGAATAGTCTTAAAGTTGACAGTGTGGGGGCCCTTTTATTACAGGTTTTACGGTATTCACGGCTCTGAAAATCCCAATAAAATAGGATTAGAACTGGGTGGGTTGCAGCTTAAAAATTCCTTCTAAAGTATTATATTGGATTTTTGCAAAAAAAAAATTCTGTCTAAATTTTTGTTTGGGGGGATTTAGGAAAAAGGAACACAAAGAACGTTCTAGATCCTTACAAAAAATTGTGATGATAAAAAGAAAAAAGGCATTTTTCCTGCGTTCAAAATTTTAATTTTTTCAACGAAGCCAAAATTTTTGAAGGAAATTGGTCAGGAAATGAGACAAAAATGTCTGGGATTTCTTTCTGATTTTGATAAAAATTTTGTTAAGAAGAGATTAGAATTTTGAGAATTAAAAGAAGACGAAAAAAAAAATTGAAACTCTGAAAATCTGAGAATTCAAGGATTCAGGAGTGTGCATAGGAAATCAGGAATAAAACATAGAAAGGTCCAGAATCTAAAAGTTCTGAGATTTTCAGATTCGGAAATTCTGAAATTCTGAGATTCTGAGATTCTGAGATTTTGAAATTCTGAGAGTCTGAAATTCTGAGATTTTCAGATTCTGAAATTCTGAGATTTTGAAATTCTGAAATTCTGAAATTCTAGAACTCCGATAATCTGAACATCTAAAATTTTGGGTTTCGGAGTTTCGAATATTTCTCAATTCTGAGATTCTGAAATTCTGAGATTCTGAGATTCTGAAATTCTGAGATTCTGAAATTCTGAAATTTTGAAATTCTGAGATTCTGAGATTCTGAAATTCTGAGATTCTGAAATTTTGAAATTCCGAAATTCTGAAATTCTGAGATTCTGAAATTCTGAAATTCTGAGATTCTGAGATTTTCAGATTCTCAAATTCTGAGATTTTGAAATTCTGAGATTCTGAAATTTTGAAATTCCGAAATTCTGAAATTCTGAGATTCTGAGATTCTGAAATTCTGAGATTCTGAAATTTTGAAACTCTGAAATTCTGAAATTCTGAAATTCTGAAATTCTGAATTCTGAGATTCTGAGATTCTGAAATTCTGAGATTCTGAGATTCTGAAATTCTGAGAATTCTGAGATTCTGAAATTCTGAGATTCTGAGAATTCTGAAATTCTGAAATTCTGAAATTCTGAGATTCTGAAATTCTGAGATTCTGAGATTCTGAAATTCTGAGAATTCTTAAATTCTGAGAATTCTGTAATTTTGGAACTTTGTAGTTCAGAAAATCTGGAATCCTGAAAAGTTTACAATCTGAAATTCTGGAATGCTAAAATCCTAAAGCTCTGGAAATCTGGAATTTCGGAAATGTCAATTTTTTGATTTTCTGACATCATCGTAAAAAATCTTAATTCTTAAAAAGGCTTCCCAATTAATTGAACTTGTTATTTTTTGTGATGTTTCAAATCAGAAAATCAAAATTCCAGAACTTCCAAATTTAAAATTACAAAACTTTGAATTTCTGAACTTGTGAACTTCCGTTTTTGAGAATTTCAAAAGTTTCATAAAATTTAGAGTCCTCATAATTCCGAAATTCAAAATGTCAGAAATTCGATTAAATTCAGAATCTCCAGAATCTTTGAATTTCAAAAATTTAACTTAACCCTTTTAAAAGTTTCAAATTTAAAAAAAAGAAATAATTTCCAAATGAATATGTTTATTGTTTCAAGAAAAGAACAAAAATAAATATAGAAATAATTGAAAATCAAAAACAAAAGACCAAAATAAATATAGAAGAATTTCAAGGGGGAACAGTCAAGAATGAGCAATCTGCTCTACAGTTTTGGAGACCACTTAAACATGAGCAATCTAGTTGAGAAGAGACAAAAATAAATGATTATGAAAGATGAGCAATGAGCTCTACAGGGTAGAAACCTGATTAACGCTGAGCAATGAGCCAATTCAATGGAGCGAGGTGAAGCTTCTTCTGAATCCACGTCTTCTGTCCAGAAGAGTTCTCTCGATGATCTTCTTCTCCCCGTTGCTCGGCTTTCGGGTCAACATTGTCTTCTTGACCATAATCTCAGTGTTGGAGAAGTTGTAGACGTCTTGATGAATGTGGAACATTTTTTAAAAACTTCAGAAGACGTTAAAATAGAAGAATTTGAAGTAAATACCACTTCCGGTTATGAGTTCTACTAGACTTAGGACACTTTTATAGTAGCTCCGTTAGGCTCCGCCCACTTTTTGGTGGGAGAAAAGGGGCGGAGCTTATGATATCAGAAATTAGGATTAAGACCCTAATGGAGGGTGGGAGAGCCAAAGGGGATTTGGATTAAGGGGTGGGAGGTTAGTAAGAAGAGAGAACCTAAAATGTTAAAAATTGAATTCTTGGAACTTTTTTTGTTAGGGATTTATGAGATCAGATGTAGGCGGAATTACTTTTTGGTTACGTAGACAAACGAATGATTGTTTCTGACGGATTACTTTCGAAGAATAGCCTAGGCTCAAAAATATAGGATCTTTGGAATTCTTTGATTTTGCAAGCAAAATCTCTGATTTCTGAGTTGCTGAGTTTTCTGGAACATTTTCAGGCGGATTTTCTGTCAAACTTTGGAGAAAGCGAAAAACTTTGGGAATTAACAAGGAATTTCCATTTTCAAGAAAAATTTGAGACTCTGAAATTTCTAATTTGAAAAGATTTTGAGATTCTGAAATGTTGAATTTCTATATTTCCATATTTTCACATTCCAGAATACCGTAAAACCTGCATTAGAAGGGCCCTCTAATAGAAGGGCCCCCTGGGATTGGTTTGGAAAAATAGAAGGTCCCCCCCCCCCCTGTAATAGAAGGGCCCCCCTGTGAAGGAGGACCCCTCCAAAATAGTCATGAAATTTAAAAAATTTCCGTACGTTTTCAGTGAAAAATATTCCGGGAATTCTAAAATTGAGAAGGAATCTGTTGAAAAACTACTTTTCTGCTCGAAAACCTGATTAATTTTGGTGAAATTGACAGATTTTCATGACTTTTGAACGATAATTCGTCGAATTTTTCGATGAAAATTTTCGGGAAAAATGACCGGAAAAAAAGAAGGGCCCCCCTGTAATAGAAGGGCCCTCCGAAGGTGCCTTGGAAAAATAGAAGGGCCGGCCCTTCTAATACAGGTTTTACGGTAATTTCTGAAAAATCTGAATGCTGAAATCTTACATCCTGAAAATCTGGTATTTTGAATTTTCAAATTTTAAATATCTTTTTTTTCTAAAAATACTAGCAATCTTGAGTTCAGAACACATCAGTTTTTCTTCCTGGTTTTATTGAATTGAAATTTCACTAATCGAAAAATCCCTTTTTCCCACCTGGTAATCCTAGTAAAAATGTCATCAATAAGCGGGATTTTATTTCAAATAAATCCCAAAAATTTAGCCATTTAGTCATGAAAAATATTTATTTGAAAATTCTGAAAACTTTAAGAATAAGAAGCTAGGGGAATCCTGACAGACGTTCTGAAACTGTATAGTTTAGAAAAACAAAAAAAAATCAAATAGTCAGAAACTCAGAATCTCCTAAAATTGGGAATCAGAAATGCAGAAAATCTTCAGACATCTGGAAAAACAGACAAACAGTCAGACAGACAGACAAAAAGCAAACATTTGACCTCATAAACATAATCCCAGATTATCCTTTAAAGTTCGCAGAATGAACACACAGACATTTAAAAGTTTATAAACATGTTTTCTATTTTCTCTTCGTGCTACATCAACAAATTACGTCGACGTCGTCTCCAGATGAGATGTCGTTTGATCAATTTTTCTCCTAGTACAGATTAATCTCAAAAAATTGGCTAATCTTTTGTTTATGAATTAGGGATATTAGTAATTAGAAGAAGAACTCTTTTTTTCCAGTGTAGATCAAAGAATTTTGGTGCAAAAAAAATGGAAGTAACGGATGAAATTTTTTCGGATTGATCAGTCATGAATAAACGGGAAACTTGATAAGAAAAAAAAATGATAATCAAAAACTCAAAAATCTGAAATTCCAGAACACCTGTGACCCACAAATCGAGTCCTCCTTCATCCCAATCTACATGCTCATCGCAATCCTTGTAATTCGCCTCACTCCAATTGCTCTTGGGGTCCTGCTCGCCGCCAAGAAGACTCCACTTTCAGAAGGCATTGCTCAGCTCATCGAAAAAGTCCGAAGAAACGAGAAACGAAGGTTTGTAGAGTATCCTTTATCCTATCTTTCTTCTTACAAGATTTTTTCTTGTTAGATTAGCTACTAACGTCTATTTGTTTGGTTTTCCTTTTAGGTTATACGTTAAGAAGCAGCAACGAACCACAACCACTTTTGATGGAGACCATGTGAGCAAGAGTACCACTTTTGGTGTTGATGGAACGCCACCGAGGTTTGTAATTATTTGGAAAAACTGTAAAAATTTATCACTAGACTGGGATAAGTTCGGCGATTTGTTGACATCCGTCTTTCCAGCAGCGTAGCTGCGCCCTCCTTGAAGCTAGAAAGTTGAATTTTGGCAAATATAATGAGCATAGACTGGTTAATATTTGTACCAAATTTCAGAAAGCTAGCTTATACAGGTCCCAAGATACGGGCGTTAAAGATAGCGCGCCCCAAGGCAGTAACCAGCAAAATTGTGGACCGCGTAGCTGTGTTCTCCTTGTAGCTAGGAAGTTGAAATTTGGCAAACAGGATAAACATAGACCCTTTAATTTTTTTATCAATTCCTAAACAACTAGCTTACATTGGTCCAGAGATACAGGTCTTGAAAGTTAGCGCTTGGAAGATGACTTTGCGACCAGCGTAGCTCTACGGCTTGTATCTCGGGACCTATAAAAGCTGAGCTTTCGAAATTTGGTACAAATATTAATACAAATATGTGCATCATTTTTGATAGATTTCAACTCACTATCGACAACGAGAAGTGAGCTACACGGTCGGAAAGTCGAATGCCGACCAAGAAATTTGGCGAACTTTTGTCTCTTAGTTTAACGACTTATAACTCGGAACTTGTTAAAGCTAGATTTTCAAAATTTGATACCAATACTGTGACAACTATGTTTATTATGTCAGTCGAATTTCGAGTTCCTGCCTTCAATGAGAAGAGAGCTACGCGGTCGCCAAGTCGGATGCCAACCAAACTTGGAGCTGTATTCTTACTGTAAAGACTTATAACTCGGGGCCTGTTATAGCTAGCATTCTAGAGTTTGGCATGAATACTAAAACAACCCAGCTCATTAATTCTGCCAAATTTCACATTTCTAGTTTCAATGAGAAGAGAGCTACGCAGTCGCCAAGGTGGGTGTCGTGTCACGGTGTAGTAAAAAATTAAACAACTCGTATCTCGGGCCCCATTAAAGCTAGCTTGCTAAAATTTGGCGTACATAATAAGGCAATATTTTTTATAATTTTCACTAAGTTTCAACTTTCTACCTTTGATGCGAAGAGAGCTAGGCGACCGCCAATTCTGGTGCCGACCAAGAGGCGCCGCCAGCTTTAGCCCCTTACTTTAAAAACTCATAACTCTGGACCGATCAAAGCTAGCTTTCTGAAATTCGACGTACATAATAAGCCAATAATTTTTATAATTTTCACTAACTTTCAACTTTCTACCTTTAATGCGAAGAGAGCTAGGCGACGGTGCCGACCAAGAAGCGCCGCGAGTGTTTGCCGCTAACTTTAGAAACTCATAACTCGGAACTTGTTATAGCTAGCTCGCTAAAATTCAACATTCATAGCAAGCCAATCATGTTGATGATGCTCCCTAGATTTGGAATTTCTAGCTTCCAGAAGAGCAAAGATACTAGCTCGGGTCTTGTCTTTGTATTTGTGAATTCTGAAGACTTCGTGTTCTGGTCAAGATTCAACGTCAGAATTCATAAAATTCAGTTTCGCTCAAAAAAAATATTGGTTTGATCGATTTTGACCCGAATGACTTGAAAAACATTTCAGACTCGTTTTCAAGTATTCTCAGAATATTCTATTATTTAGTCTAGTCTCGAAATCCAAAAAAAAACACATCAACATCTTTGATCTTATATCCAATACAACAAATTTCTCAATTCTTCAGAATCCAATTTGACCCAAATGGTCTGAAAACCATTTTAGATTTGTCTGAAAAATTTTCAGCACAAAATTTTCAGATTTTCAGAAATTTCGGCATATTTCTTGGTTATCTAGTCTAGTCTCTCAACAAGAAAAACACATCAACATGTTTGGTCTTACATACACAAAATTGCTCATCTTTTCTCCCCCAACAAACAAAAAAAAGTCACATGGGGTTTTTTGAAATCCTATAAGAGATGGGATTACGCTAATTGGATAATATGGGGAGATATTGGGGATAAATAAAAAAAATGATGTGTGATTTTTTCTGATAAAAAATATGGGAGAATAATGATAAGGGAAATTTTTTGATTAAAAAATGCTTTTGCAGAATTACGTCGACACCACTTCCGCCTGTTCCATCACCAGCTCAAATTGATCATAGCATTAGGTAAGCGAGAGGCGACCCGACACACATATACACCGAAAAAAATGGAATCCTAGACTACTAGTTGATTTTCTAGGTCATCAAATTTAATGGCACCTATATGGACATCGGGACTAACAGATACACAGAAAATGGGATCCCAGGCGAACGTTTGAAGTTTTCTAGGCATAATTTTCAGATTTCTAAACCTTTTTTTGGATTTCTAGGCCACGCTTGACTTTTTTGAGCGTTCTGAACCATACATTTCGGGGTTTCTAGGCCATGGTTTTGAGTTTTTAGGCCAAACTTGCCATTTTGGATTTCTAGGCCATAATGTTCTCTCTTCCAGCTATAACAACGCTGCCTACTTCGCGACATCTGGAGCTTTCAGCTCCAGATCCAGCGAAATTTCCAGAATCGACGCTAATGAATTGTTCAAGTGAGTTTTTTTTTAGAATTTTGGAATTTAAGAATTATTTTAGAGTTCCCAGAATTTTGTGGAAATTTGGAATTTAAAAATTTTTTAGATTTTTTAAATAATTTTTTGAATTTTTCGAATTTTGATTTTTTTTTTATTTTTTGATTCATTTGAACTTTTAATAACAGACTTTCTGAATTTATGAATTTCTGAATTTCTGAATTTCTGAATTTCTGAAATTCTGAATTTCTGAAATTTCTGAATTTCTGAATTTCTGAATTTATGAATTTCTGAATTTCTGAATTTCTGAATTTCTGAATTTCTGAATTTCTGAATTTCTGAATTTCTGAATTTCTGAATTTCTGAATTTCTGAATTTCTGAATTTCTGAATTTCTGAATTTCTGAATTTCTGAATTTCTGAATTTCTGAATTTCTGAATTTCTGAATTTCTGAATTTCTGAATTTCTGAATTTCTGAATTTCTGAATTTCTGAATTTCTGAATTTCTGAATTTCTGAATTTCTGAATTTCTGAATTTCTGAATTTCTGAATTTCCGAATTTCTGAATTCCTGTGTTTTTTAAATTCTGAATTTCTGAATTTCTGAATTTCTGAATTTCTGAATTTCCGAATTTCTGATATTCTGAATTTCCGAATTTCTGATATTCTGAATTTCCGAATTTCTGATATTCTGAATTTCTGAATTTCTGAATTTCTGAATTTCTGAATTTCTGAATTTCTGAATTTCTGATTTTCTGAATTTCTGAATTTCTGAATTTCTGATTTTCTGAATTTCTGAATTTCTGAATTTCTGAATTTCTGAATTTCTGAATTTCTGAAATACTGAATTTCTGATTTTCTGAATTTCTGAATTTCTGAATTTCTGAATTTCTGAATTTCTGAATTTCTGAATTTCTGAATTTCTAAATTTTTGAAGTATTGAATTTCTAAATTTTTAAAATTTTGAATTTCTCGATTTCTCAATTTTTGAATTTTTGGTTTTTTTCGGATTTTTTTTGTATTTTCTAGTATTCCAAAATTTCCAGAAACCCCATCAACCGTGCTCCATCGGGCAGTCTTCAGTCGGAAGTTTAATTTTCTCATCTAACGTAATCCTCAAATCGCTCATCCCCAATTCTCTCTCCCACCATGTTGCCTTTCCGAAATTCAAAAAACAATTTTAATACTTTTTTGAATTCCCGCTTTTTTTCCACCGACATCTTTCAGCATATTTCCTTCTCTTCCCCTGTTCCATACTGGTAGTACTGTACTTCTTTTTTTGGCATTTTTCTATTTTTTTTGTGATTTCCAATTGTTCCGATTTCCTAAACTTTTCTCTTATTGTCAAATTCAATAAACTGATTTTTTGTTCAAAATAAGTTTTTTTTTGGCTAAAAAATGTTGATACAAATTATAAAATAAAACCATATTTTTTGGAAGTTTTTTAGGAAACTTCCGGCTTCTTTTTTTTCCAAATTCCCAACTTTTTTTTCTTTTTTCGGTGTTCTTTGTACAGTCTTTAGAATCTTTAGAATCTATTGAATTTCCTATCGAAAAGAACTATAAAAAGAGGAGAATTCTCTCGTTTATTATAGTTTGAGTTACGACAGCGTTACTCCCCAATTTGAGCCCTTATATCTATGTTCATGTGAAAGATATCAAAAATCTGTCAACTGATAAAATTTTGGTGATATTATCACACATATTTTATCATTGACCAATTCTCGATATCTCTAACGGGAACAGAGATAGTTGAGTTCAAAGTATAGGTATTTTTCAAGTTTCAATTAATTTTTCAGACTGTCGACATTTACTTTTTTTATGAATTGTTTTGTTTCCAGCCAGACAAGTCTGTGTAATTTTTCTGTACTTATCTAATAGTCCAGATTAGTGGATCTCTGAAAATAACGCATAGCTCAAACCATATGTTTTTAATCATAATGTAACTGCTAGTATCGGCAAGCGATGGCAATGACCGAGTAGCTGGAACTTAAATTCTAGCGCTCGTTGAAGTTATGAATCGAAAAATTAGGAAAATCGGAATCGATTTAGACATTAGTATTCATACCAAATTTTAAAAAGCTAACTTTAAAGGAGGCTCGCGCTTACAACCTTCTATCTTGCTTACGGTTAAAGCTAGAAATTTGAAACTTTACAAATAAAATATACAATTTAGTTCAAATATTTATGCCAATTTTCAAAAAGCTAGCTTCAAAAGGTCCCGAGATATGAGCTGTTAAACTTAAGGTAGTGGCGCGCGCCTCTCGCCGGCGGTCGTTGTTTACGACCGCGTAGCTCTTCTCTGGTTGAAGCTAGAAACTTCAATTTTCGCAAATGAAGTATACAAGTTTAGCTAAATGTTCTCACCGAATTTCAGCTAGCTAGTTATAATGTTTCGGGCTCTTTTCTAGTTTAGAAGTCCCAAAAAAATTTAGAGGTCCCAAAAAAATTGGAGGTCCCAAAATAAAATAGAGGTCCGTAAAAAAATTAAAGGTACCAAAAAAGTTTAGAGGTCCCAAGAAAAAATAAAGGTCCAAAATTTGAAAAACGCGCAGATGTTGGAATAATGTACCAGAATTTGGAGTTTTGAGTTTTAAGGCTCTATTGGATGATAAGTGCGGAAATGTGACTTTTCCTAACATTCTTGGCTCCATTTCAATTTTGTCTTTCAGATGGACCCAAATTTTCATAAAAGCAAAATTTCGGCAAAACGGTAATACCTCCATGAATATGCTGTCTCTCAGGCTTAGATGATACAGAAAATATGCATCCCTAACAAGGGGAAGTGTTTTCAGACAGTGGTTGAGAATTTGTTCAAACTTTGGTCATTGGTACTTTTGGACACGCTGATCACAGCGCTGCTTTTATTTTTTGCCCCTTGCCCCTCACAAAAAAGTTAAAAATGGGCTCTGAAAGTGATTTCAGTGCTAATTTCTCACTTTTGGAGTGAATTTTTGGAGGGGTTAATAACAGTTGTTCGGAGTTTCTCAAATGTAAATCGTACTTTTGAAGGTTTCTCTACAATCTGAGAAAATAGCCTCATTTTTCAAAAAAAAATTTTTTTTTAATTAATAAAAATCTGAATGGAAATTTTTTTAAAAGGTTTTGACACACTTTGAGATTTCCAGCAAGATCAGAAAAAAAGCAGAAAACAAATCGGGAAAAGAGGGATCGAACTAACCCTTGTCAGTTACCACCATCTCTCTTCACCACTACACCACACTCGCTGTTCCTCACTGCTTTCACAATTTGTATAAGAAAGGGGGAGATCGCGCTCACGCTTTTAATGCTTTAACAGAGGTGAAATTTCAGACGCGTTTTTTCAGCTTCTAGGTACCGAGGGGCACGAAAAAAAGTCGTCTCGTTATTGACCATGTCCGAAAGTATATGTGTACCAATTTTCAAGAAATTCTCAACCACTGTCTGAAAACACTTCCCTTGTAAGCCTATTAGAAGTATAAAATATACCATCAACACTTATTCTGCTATAAGACCTCAAAACTTTAATTTCTTACACAATTCAAATTCTAGTACATTACTCCAGCATCTGTGCGTTTTTAAATTTCGGACCTCTATTTTTTCTCGGGACCTCTAAACTTTTTTGGGACCCCTAATTTTTTTTCGGACCTCTATTTTATTTTGGGACCTCTAAATTTTTTTAGGACCTCTAAACTAGAAAAGAGCCATGGTTCGAGAGATACGGGTCGTTAAAGTAGTTTGACCTGCTTTCCCATAAGCGAAACTTGTTTTTCTAAACATTTTGGTTCTTTTTTGTCCTCATATTGTCATCATATTTTCGATTTATGTATTATAATAGTTGTTATGAGGTGAAAACATATGTTTTGCTTTCAGATTAGTTCGCTGTTCACTTCCTTTTTGCTGTGGGGAATACTGAAAAAAAGCATATTTGAAATTCCTATGAAAATATATCGTGGCGTTTTTAAGCTCTTTTTTTTAGATTTAAGACCAAAAATAGTGCAAAAAATTTCAAAAGTGGCAGCAGTTCTATAACGATACAGTTCTAAGATGTCACCCAAATTCTTAATTTCCAGATTTCCAGACTTTTAGATTTTTTAATTGTTTTTCTAAAGAATCAAAAACCTTATGATTTTCTCTACTTCCTGAAACTTTTTTTTTCAGATTATGCAAAACTTTTCTGAACATTTCAAATGTTTTGTTTCAAATGTTGCGAACTTCGGAGATTATGGAAATTTTTCGATATAGAAACCGTTCTCTTTTGTTTACTTTGTACTTTTTGTCATATTTGAACCGAGAAAAGTTTATATAAAAAACAGAGATGAAAGATTTGGAACTCATATTTCTAGTTTTTTTTTCGCTGAAATTTGCTGAAAAAACTGAAAACTGACTACTGAAAACTATTTGAAATTTAGTGGAAAAAATGACATTTCAAGGTGAGTGAATTTATAATTTCAGCGATGTTTTTTTCATTAGGACATCCTTCGATCGGAAAATTTAGCCGACCGACCGACAGCTGACCAAGCTGACCGATTGGGCGGCGCGCCGACCGTTCTCGTGCATTTGCGCGTCGACGTGTTTGCATACGCAGCATTGTACTTTACGGCAAACTACTCACTAAATGCCTCGTTTGTTGTGAAATTAAGTGCTTCGTACGCAAATATAGGCACTTTGAAAGGCACGAAATCGGTCCGACCGACCGGTCAACTCGGTCGGCTGGGTCGGTGGTCGGTCGGCGGTCGGTGATTTTCGACCGACCGAAATAAAAGCCTTATGTGGAACTTTTGAATTTATTTTTTGAATTTCTGAAATTCTAAGAACCTAAAATTCTAAAATGCTGAAGTTCTGATATTCCGACATTCTGAATTTCCGAATTTTCGAAAATTTTGACTTTTTTCAATTTTTCATACCGTCCATTTTTCCCCTTCTCCCGACCACCCCAACCAAAACCAAAATTCACATATAATTTTTTCTATCACCTCCTCTTTAAAACAAAAATGCGAGATAGTACATAAAGGCAGAGAGACGCAGAGAAATGGGAAAAAAGAGTGGGCAATTCCCACATTTCAAAAAAGAAAACGAACCGCTTTTTGATGGTTTTATGATCATTTTTATTTCCAGTTTTTGTTTTGTGACGGTCAATAATTTTCGAATTGTTTTGAATGGCCTAGAAAAATCAAATTAGAGAAAAGTTAGGCCACAAAATGACTGGTAAAGAAAAAATAATGTTTTTCTTTCAAAATCCATTTTTACATTTCAAAGAAAAGTTCAATTTTAAAAATCTAATGTAAAAAATATTACATTTTGAAATTTCCAAAAGGAAGATTTTGAAAAGGCAAAGAGAAAATTCTCGCTTTTCGTTTTTCTTCAAATTCTCGTTTTCCTTTGTTATCATTATCACTATCACTTCTTCGTTTCTTAATAATAATTTCCATTCAGATTTCATTGATTTTTCCGAAAATTCTAATTTTCTTTTTATTCTAAGTTTTTTAGAACTTGAATTTCGAAACTCAAAAATTCAGAAATTCGAAAATTAAAAATTTCATAAATTCAGAAATTCCTAAATTCTGAATCTCTGAAATTTGAAAACTCAAAGCTGAGATTCTGAGATTCTGAGATTCTGAGATTCTGAGATTCTGAGATTCTGAGATTTTGAGATTCTGAGATTCTGAGATTCTGAGATTCTGAGATTCTGAGATTCTGAGATTCCGAGATTCTGAGATTCTGAGATTCTGAGATTCTGAGATTCTGAGATTCTGAGATTCTGAGATTCTGAGATTCTGAGATTCTGAGATTCTGAGATTCTGAGATTCTGAGATTCTGAGATTCTGAGATTCTGCGATTCTGAGATTCTCAGATTCTCAGATTCTGAGATTCTGAAATTCTGAGATTCTGAGATTCTGAGATTCTGAGATTCTGAGATTCTGAGATTCTGAGATTCTGCGATTCTGAGATTCTGTGATTCTGCGATTCTGTGATTCTGATATTCTGATAGTGAGAGAGAACACTTCGAACTTCATAATTTCAGACTTCCAGGATTCCGGAATTCCAAAAATTTCTTAAAAATTCAGATCTCTAAACCTTTAAATCCCCATTTTCAACTGAACCACTGAAAGTTCAAAATACCAAATCCCCCATTTTTGATGGCCTAGAAAAAAACTAGTCCCTGTTTCCCCCTAAAATCCCCAAATCCAATTTAACATGTGATTGTGTTTTTTAATTGCCTATAATCCTATTTCCGTTCTTTTTCAGGTAATTTCAAACCATAAAAATACTCAAAAATCCAGATTTCTAAACCCTAATCACAGAAATAGAGATTTTTTTTTAAATTGAAAATGAAAAAATTTTAAGCTCCGCCCATTTTTTGTGTTCTTTATATTCTACAGTATCCAATAGATTTTTGAAAAAATAAAATTTCACATTTTTAGTTTTTCGAAACTTTTTTAAAACCATAAAATTTGCATTTTCCTCCTTCTTTGCTGACAAAATTTTGCTGAAATTTTTTTTCGAATTTTCAGATTTGTACCAAAAAAAATATTTTCAAAAAATGGAATTTTACAGAAATGGTGACAGATGTGGGGACTCGGAACGTGGTCCGGCTGTCGATTTCATTTATGCTCTTATTTTTTGCATATATGAGTCAAGAATTCATTCAAGAACCATTGATTGAGGCTGAATATCGGAGGACTGGGTTGATTGATCCACATGCCGGATATCATAGGTGGGTCTGGAAATTTTAGAATTTCAGAATCTCAAAATTACTGGAAAATAAGCTAACAATAAGCAAAACCGGTTGATTTTGAAGGATGTTTTACAACATTTTGAGGCTATGGCCTAGTTTTGGGATTCTAGGCCATGCTTGGAAAGCACAGAATTCTTGCAAATTTAGATGAAAAATGGCAGCCAAAAACGGACTTGTTATGTCCTAGTTTTTTGGACTTCTAGGCCATCATTTCCCGAGCTACCTGGCCTAACTTTTCCTCTCTTTATTTCCAGGTCATGTTCTTTTTCTGTGATCTATGATGAAGGTATACTGTACCTCACTTCCAGATAGATCACGCAACCCAACATCACCATTTTCTCTAACCTCTCTCATTTTTCCATACTATTTTCTTTTAATGGGCTCTTTTCTCATAAAACTTGATTAAAAATGCACAAAAAAAGTTGGTGCGTCAAACTGTGTGTTTTGCTACAAGGAAGTTTTAAAAATAGGAAAAGATATTGTGGCCTAGAAGTCTGAAAATGTTAGGTCATGGTGGCCTAGGAATGCAAAAGTGGCCTAGGAACGGTGGCCTATTAATGCAAAAGGCCGTGAGAGAAGAAGAATGTAAAGTTTTACAATTTTGGTCTATTTTACACCCTCCAAAATCATCAAAACGATCGGAATTTTGCCAACAGACTCCTGAAAATGGTCAAAATCAATAGAAAAATACTTGTTTTTCAAATCACAGGTGATTCGCGAACAATCCGTTACGGACCCGTTCGCATTTTACCTGTGATGAAAATTAAGCATTTATTCCAGAGAAAAAAACAAAGTTCAATAGTGTACTGATTAGCCAGACTAGTAAATCTGTTGATCCCTTTCGCCACGTAGAGGCTCAGTACATGAAAGGGAAACAAGGTTTTCTTCCAATGGGGTCACCTTCCAAAACCCAACAAACTAGGCACCCTGGCCCATTACCGTTGAGAACAGTTCCATTAGTAAGTCTTCAGTGGCAGAAGCTCTATGCCAACACTACTCATTGATGTTTCTTTTTTTGAATCTTTGATCGGATCGATTTTGAAACGGAGGACGTTCAGTGAAAATGAATTCACCTAGCCATGAACCACCAAACATGGCGACCCGGAGGGCCTTTTCTAACTTTTTTCGCATTTTCACCAATCGAAAGACAAGAAACTATACAATGAGCAGCGTGCAAAGAGCTTCTTACCAGTGAAAAAGTGCCAGTGGAAATTATCCAACGAGTAATAAAGTTCAAAGAGTGGGATTTCACAGAGAACTGTTTTTTTTTCAATATGTGGAATTTTTAACGTATACAGTAGAGGGGTCGTGACCCAATATCGATTGAATTAATAATTCATTGCGTTACGCAAATAAAAAGAAAAAAATGGGCGCGGAAATTTCAGTCTTCTGCTCAATTTTAAGCAAAGTTACAGTAACACAAACATCCTGGATAACACTTTCAGAAATTCATGCAAAATGTGGGATTGCTATCTGAATTTTGAAATTTTAAGGAATATCCTGGAAATTTGATTTTTGTGGAAAACTAGGCCATGACTAGAATTATTGAATCGATGAAAAATTGAAAATTCTAAACATTTTCAGTTTCGCAATTCTCTACTTCTTCTTCACCATCGCCTGCCTCATAATAACCCCAATTGTGGAGATAATCACAGCCAAATGGTCCATGGTCATTGGATTCGTCGCCTATATCATTTTTCAAGCTGGATTCATCTGGCTAAACAGCACATATTTATATGTTACATCTGCGATTTTGGGAGTCGGAGCGTCTTGTGAGTTTTCTGAAAAATTCAGAATTTCAAAAATCTCAAATTTGCAGTCCTTTGGGTGGGTCAAGGGAAGTATCTAACAGAGAATTGCACGGGAAAAACTATCGAGAGGAATACGGCACTCACATGGGTGATTTTCAAATTCTCGTAAGTTTCGAAAACCGCGACGCGACCGCGTCGCGTTGGTTTACACTTTGGAGGGTCATATCTCAGTTGTTAATGAACCTAGAAACTTGAAATTTGACCTGTTAATCTTGACAATTTGTTCTTGGCCATCTGAGAATTTCATGTTTCTAGGTCTATAAACAGCTGAAATATATTATTCAAAGCACTAGACGCAGAGACACAAAGTCTCGAAGTTAGCGACTAGCCGCGACGCGACCGCGTTGCGAAGATCAAAACTTTGAAGAGCTAAATCTCGGCTCTAACAAGGGAAGTGTTTTCAAAAAAGCGTTGAGAATTTCTTGAAAATTTGAACAAGTATGCTATATGACCTCCTAAACATGGTGTCATTTTTTGTTTTTCCACCCCGGCCTCCAGAAGCTGAAAATTTGCCTCTGAAATTTTTACTGTGTTTTGGTGTAGTGGGGAAGAGGGACGGAGGTATCTGACTAGGGTTAGGTTCAATCCCCCTGTCCTGAATATTTTTTTTTTCTGGTCCCTCTGGAAGTCTCAAAATTTCAAATAGTTATTTTTTGAAAAAAAATTTTATTTCAATTTTAATTTTTTAGAAATAATAATACTTTTTGACATAATTCAAAAAAATTCTGGAAGCAACACTAGAAAGTCTTCCCTAGGCGTAGTGTTAGTCAATAATATGCCCTAAACAGGTTTATTTTGCGGTTGAAAAAAAAATAAATAAATGAGTAATGATGTAAATCTATGTTGTTACAAGTTTTGAGTGCTTCTAGAGATTTGTCAAAGAATTACGACCCATTGAAGTTTGAACAGAAATCGCTTTTTGTGATTTCTAGAGGAATATGGGCTACGAAATCTCGCGAAAAGACTCATTTTATCGTTTCTCTACGTTCAGGCTTCATTTTAGCACATTTTAAAATTTTGCGAAAATTTGAAAAAATTCCAAAGCAGATACCACATAGCGACATTTTTTCAAAAAAATTTTTTTTTTGAAAAATGAGGAAACTTTTTCAGATTATAGAACAACATATAAAAGTACGATTAACATTCGAAAAATTCCGAAAAGCTGTTATTAACCTATCAAAAATTTACTCCAAAAGTGAGAAATTAACACTGAAATCACAAGTCTCAAAGTTGGCGACTAGCCGCGACACGACCGCACCGCCTAGGTTAATATTTTCAATTTCAGCCTTCTCGGCGGTGGCATCTTCCTCTACTTTATGTTCCTCAACACTGGAATCACAGAGCTAGTGGCCACTGGAGCGGTGAGTGATGGCCTANAAATTTTGGCCATGGCCTAGAAACCCAACTCGTCTTTTATTTTTTAGTACAAGATCTTCGTCTACATTTTCTGCACAATTTCATTTTTGGGATGTCTGAACACTTGTTTCCTCCCGCAATCCGCCTATATTCCAGAGAAAAGGGACCAGGAATCAATAATGCAAACTTTGAGTAAGTGGTGGCCTAGGTTTTTGGATTTCTAGGTCATGATCCATTTTAAGGGGCGACATTCAAAATCATGCGACAACCTCCAATGCTCTTGCTTTCCTTCATTTTTCTCTACACTGGATTTTCGAGATCTTTTTGGATTGGTAAGTAAATTTGCGGTGGCCTAGAAATGGAAAATACTATAAAATCTGCAAATTCTAGGCCATCGGGGACCATTTGTCTTCAAAAAAGGTTATGGTGCAGCTTGGTAACCCATGACCTAGAAAAAAGTCTGGTGGACTAGAAAACTCGGCCATGGCCTAGAAAACCCCGAAATTTCCAGCCATCTACCCGACATGCATAAAATTCACAACGCGTCTCGGAGAAAACACTTCAAAACTACTCGCAATCAGTTGTATCGCCACGGGAATCGGACAAATTTTGGCTGGAGGGATTTTTTCGATAATGGGAAAAAAGGCAAGGATTATTGGAAAAGATTGGATTTGTGTCATCGCTTGTGCCATTCATTTGAGCATTTTTGTCGCGATTTGGCTCTTTTTCCCGTCGGATGCTCCGATTCATCCGACTGATCGAATTGGATGGTTTGAACCGAGGTGAGCAGGGTTTTTTGATGGCCTAGAAAACCAAATCTAGGCCATGGCTTAAAATCCAAGAGCGATTTTAAAAGGGGTGTGGCTGATGGTCTAGGCCACCAAGGTGAGATGACCTAGAAATTCCAGGAATTTTGGGATCTTAGGCCATGAGATGTAAAATGAAAATTTTGTAAAAAACCAGCCAAAATTTTCAGAAGGTTTTGCTGAAAAATGACCCAAAACGAACAAAAAGAGTGGTATTTTATTAGGTTGGCGGGAAAGTCTTTGTCACTTTTTCAATAGTTTATTTCTCAAAGAAAAAATAACCGAATAATTAATTATATTGTCCATCATTATCAACAACATGTCTCCAACGTTCCCTCAATTTATGGATTCCATTGCGGTAGAATCCAGCCGGGCGTGAGGCAAAGTATTGTTTGAGTGCCGCTTCGACCGCTCCACGGGAATTGAAGCTTCTTCCTTCGAAGGCACGTGTCATATCGCCAAATAACCAATAGTCGGAAGGAGCAAGATCAGGAGAATACGGGGGGTGAGGGAGAACATTCCATCCATATCCCATCAGCTCCTGCTTCACTTGTTTCGAAACATGTGGGCGAGCGTTATCATGTTGATAGTACACTTTCTTGTCTTTCAAGGCCGAACGGTCGACTGCTTTCTTGAGGTTTCGTAGTTGAGTAGTGTAGAGGTCTCCAGTTATTGTTTTGCCCTCGGGCAGAAGTTCCCAGTAGATGGGGCCGTCCACTCCCCACCACACAGAGAGCATAACTTTTTTCGGATGAAGGTCGGGTTGTGGGACATCCTGTGGGCTCTCTCCTTCTCCACCCACTGGGATTTCCTGTGGTGATTATCGTAGAAGACCCACTTCTCATCTCCGGTTATTAGCCGGTCCAGCCATCGATCGCCCGCGTGGAGAGTGAGAAGAGTAATCGAATCGTCGACTCGGCGGTCAAGGTTGGCTTGAGTCAGGTGATGAGGTATGAATCGACCAAAAAGTTTTCTCATTCCAAGAGACTTCAAACCTTCAAGGACTGTGCTATGGTGAACTCCGAATGTGACAGCTAGTTCACGGCTAGATTGGATCCGATTGCAATGCGTGCTTCAGCTTGTCCAAATCCAACTCACGGGGTCTCCCAGAGCGATCCTTTTCATCGAGCGAGAAGTCATCTTTTTCGAAACGATGGAACCAATTGCGAATAGTATTGTAGTGAGGGGCATGTGTGTTGTACACATTCTTCAAGAAAGTTTCCGAATCCTTCATCGTGGTGTGAGATAGGAAGAGGTAAATCAAAACATGTCTGATGTGAATAGCAGTGGGAACAAACATATCGTTTCAATTACAGATGAGGAGCAGGGAAGGAAATGGGGACTTGTTTATATGGAAGGTTCTTATCACCTTGTTATTCACTAGAGTCGATATCATACACAGCCTCCATATACGAGAACAGTGATTAAACAAACAGAGTGACAAAGACTTTCCCGCCAACCTAATATGACCTAGTTTATGGGATTTCTAGGCCATAATTTCCCGAGCTACCTGGCCTAACTTTTCCTCTCTTTATTTCCAGGTCATGTTCTTTTTCTGTGATCTATGATGAAGGTATACTGTAGCTCACTTTCAGATAGATCACGCAACCCAACATCACCATTTTCTCTAACCTCTATCATTTTTCCATACTATTTTCTTTTAATGGGCTCTTTTCTCATAAAACTTGATTAAAAGTGCGCAAAAAAAGTTGGTGCGTCAAACTGTGTGTTTTGCTACAAGGAAGTTTTAAAAATAGGAAAAGATATTGTGGCCTAGAAATCCAAATTTTGGGGAAAAGTTAGGTCAAGGAAATTTGAAATGGAAAAGTGAGGTCTATAGGAAATCCTGTGTTCTGAAACCAGTCAACTTTGAAGACCCATATCACAGCTCTCGGTCATTCGGGAAATCGGAAATTTTCACAGCAAAATCACTCATTCTTTTTCAGATAATCACGGAAAATTTCAAGTTTCTTGCTATATTTTGAGCAACGTTACAGTAATCCGAAATCCTAGGCCATCTTCAAAACAGAAGTGCCTAGAAATTCGAAAAACTAGGTCATCTTCGAAAAACCCCTTGATTTTCAGCGTCCACGTGGCAATTGGCTGTTCTGGTCTTCTTGGTTTCGGTGATGCTATCATCCAGACCCAAGTCTACTCGTATCTCTGTGATGGCTACTCGGAGGAATCGTCCCATGCATTTGCCCTGTTCAAATTTTACAGTGTACGTTTATTGTCTAGAATCTCGAATTTTGGGTTATTTGAAAAGTGAAAATTTGATGAAAATTGGACTACTAGAATCTGAGATATGTTTCTTTAAACTTTGGTAAGCAGAGCAGGATATTTGGGTTACTGTAACTTTGCTGAAAATTTAGCTAGAAACTTGAAATTCCTAGGAAATATTAACAAAGAATTGGAAAATCAACAAAAAAATTTTTAGATGCCTAAAATGGCTGAGAGAGGAGATATGGGTTTTCAAAGTTGACCGATTTCAGAACGCTTTCCTAGTCTTCCTTTCCCCATGACCTAGCTTTCGCATACCCAGCCTCCATGGCCTAATTTATCCCAGAATTTAGATTTCTAGTCTTCTTCTATTTTTAAAACTTCCGCATAGCAAACACACAGTTTGACGCACACAGTTTGACGCACGAACTTTTTTTTTGTACAATTTTAATCAAGTTTTATGAGAAAAAGAGCCCATTAAAAAAAAATAGTATAGAAGAATGAGAGACGTTAGAGAAAATGGTGATGTTGGGTTGCGTGATCCATCTGTAAGTGAGGTACAGTATACCTCCATCGTAGATCAAAGAAAAAAACATGGCCTAAAAATATAAGGGATGAAAGGTTAGGTCAGGTAGCTGGAAACGCTAGGCCATTTCCTAAAAATCTGTAAAATCAACAGTTTTTGCTCATTTTTGGCACAATTCGAAGCAAGTTTCAACCATGCACTTTGTATTTTTGGTGGCCTAGAATTTCGAATTCTCAATTTTCTAGGCCATCGCTTCTACGATAGCATTCTTCATCTCAAAATACTTCACACTGACTGGCCATTTAACGCTTTATGGAACATTTGCGATTTTGTCTGGAATTACAGCAGTGATTGCTCAGAAAATGTATTTCCATAAAAAGGAACATTTCTTTCAAGGTGAGCAGGTTTTTTTTTGTAAAAAAATCTAATTATTTTCAGAAAACACCGATAAAATCCACGCCATGACGACATCTGAACCGATCAAAATCGAAATTTCCGATTCGGGATCGACGATTCTTTCGAACGACGCGAATTCGAAAAAATAAAGAAGAGAATTTTTAATTTTTGAATTTGAATATTTTAAATATATTTTGATCCGCATATTTACTAATTTGCATTCCGGGTTAAAAATTGTGAAAACAATAAAAACATGTGTCAGGTAGTTTTTTTTTCGATTTTCAGAATTTTGGAATTTCTAGAAATACGGAAAGTCAGAATCTCAGGATCTCAGAATCTCAGAAACTCAGAATCTCAAAATCTCAGAATCTCAGAGTCTCAGAATCTCAGAATCTCAGAATCTCAGAATCTCAGAATCTCAGAAACTCAGAATCTCAGAATCTCAGAATCTCAGAAACTCAGAATCTCAGAATCTCAGAATCTAAAAAATTCCAAAAACGGGAAATTTGAAAAAACATTGTGAATTCGAAGAAAAGTTTTCAATGTTTTTCCAAATGTTTCAGCTCGAATTTTCATTTTTTTTTTCTTGAAGTTTCGATTTTAGATTTTTCGCAAAATCCATGACATCACCATGCTCACATCCATCCTCCTGATATCCATATAAGCTCCGCCCATCTTTTTTTCCTTCCGAATCCAATTAGGTTTTTTTAGATCGCGTGTTCCAGAACAAAAATTGGGCGGAGTCAAGTTTCAGAAAAAGTGTATAAAATACTTTTAGCAGAGGCTGAATTCTCAGAATTCCCTTGTCCCTTTTTCTGGATTTTTATGAATAAAAACCAATTTTGGTCTTCAAAATTTTCATGGTTTCTGAACTTTTTCATTTTGCAAAAGTAATTTTCAGACAAACGTTCAGAGGTTGTTTGTACTTCCGGCATTCTTTTGAGAAAAAATTCAATTGTTTGATTTCTTTTCGGCATTGTTGACCTATAAAAATGTTTAAAATGTCTGGAAAGTTTTCCAAAACTTTCAGATTAAACAATTCTAAAATTTACAATTCAAGTTTAATTCTCTAGATTTTCTACCAATTTTCAATTCATTTTTGAAAACATCTTTTTCCTTAAAAAATTATTTTTTTTTCCATTTTTTGAACCTTTGATTTTCAGTTTCACTGAACTTCTTTTGGGTCATTCTGAGTCCGAATTTCAAAAAAAAAATTATTTTCAAAAATCCGGTATGATCCCAATAAACACAAACTACCTATTTTTATTTGTTTTATTTTTTGATCTACATCAAAAAATTTCGAAAAAAAAGTTTTTGAAAATGTACCGTATTAATATTTGTTCAGTATAGAAAATTTATGTGAGAAGAGTTTGGTATGGAGATTATGGGAAATTTTTTTCTGAAAATTTCAGAATAAATTTTGCTTGAAAATTTAAGTTAAAAGTTGGCTAGAACGTTGTTGAATTTTTGGTGGCCTAGAAATCCGAAATTTGGAATTCTAGGCCGCTGAAAAAAGTGCATGGTTTTGTTGATTTTATTTTTCATATGTTTCGAAAAATTGTTTTTTTTTTGTTTTGGTGAAAAATATACCATCTTCAGACAATTTTTGTATAAAACTAAGTTTGTTTTTTTTTTCTCGATTTCTGAATTTCTGAATTTCTGAATTTCTGAATTTCTGAATTTCTGAATTTCTGAATTTCTGAATTTCTGAAGTTCTGAATTTCTGAATTTCTGAATTTCTGAATTTCTGAATTTCTGAATTTCTGAATTTCTGAATTTCTGAATTTCTGAATTTCTGAATTTCTGAATTTCTGAATTTCTGAATTTCTGAATTTCTGAATTTCTGAATTTCTGAATTTCTGAATTTCAGAAATTGACAGAACTCTGGAAAATATGGAAGTTTTGAAAAATCAAGAATTCAGAAATTCTAGAATTTTCAGATAATTTTCAAAAATCTGAACGTCCGAAAAATTCAAAAAATACGGAAATTCTGAGATTCAAAGAAATACAGAATTTATTAAATTCAGAATTCAGAAGTTCCAGTTTTTAGAAAACTCGAAAAGTCTGAAAATTCTAGAAAAGTTGGAACTTTTTTCCAAAAAAAACTCCCAGGAAGTAAAAAAGACTTTTTGTCTGTTCTTTGTACTTTTAGAATTCTGAACACTAAAGAAATTTACTTTTATTGCTTTTGAGAAAAGAATAGAGCGAAAAAAAATTCTATTAAAAAGAGAAAAATATATGTACATATAAAGAACCCCAAAACTCCAAAAAAATATTTTATTTTTCCAAATTTTTTAGGAATCTTATGTTTTTTTTCTCATTTGGATAGAATTTTGCAGAATTTTGGTCACTTTTTTCTTTCGTCTGTTTTCGTATTAGTGTACCGCATTTTCAAAGACTTTTTTCCTATTTTTCACTGAATATTTCCATTATTCTAGGTAATCTTAAGCCTGAAGAATGGCAAACATGTCGAAACAGACCAGCAACGTTGTGTGGGTCTCTCTGAACATGATGGTTCTGTTCACGGCGATTCTGAGTCATGAATTCATAATGGAACCATTGCTCCATGCATATGCATCAAGAGGAACCGGTGGAATTCAGGAAAAAGATGGATATTTGGCGTTGTGTATCGTTTATGCGTTCAATGCAGTCGGATGCTTTGTGGCGCCGTGGTTGGTCACAAGAATTTCGGGAAAATGGTCCATGGTTGTTGGAATTTGCACATTGTTCTTGTACGAGGTAAGAAGTCTATAATCCTGCAGAAGTCTAATATTTTTGTATAATATGTAATAATATAATCTGTGTTTTTAACGCAATTTTCAATATAAAAATTATAGAACACAACATTTTCTTCATTTTGGTACTATTTCCAAGTTTCTAGCTCATCTGGAAGACGAGATATTGCCCATTGAAGATTTGATGGCTAGAGACGCAGACAGCTAGACTCTCTGACTGTCTGCGTCTCTTTTAGTGAAAATAGTTTTCAACTCCTACACTTAAGAGCAATTACGAATTCTCTAACACTTCCGAGAACCCAGATACATCGCTGTAAATCCAGAAGAGACGCAAAAAACGAGACACTCTAACTGTCTACGTCTCTCCGAAACTTCAAATTGCTGTATTTCGGGCTATTTATGAGTTAGAAATTTGAAACTTTTATGAAAAAATAGGAAACCAAAAATCCTACATTTCCGAACAAGAACCAATCTTCCAGGTATTCTAGAACCTGAGATACATGCATTTGAAATTTTCAATGAGAGACGCAGACAGCTGGACACTCTAACCTATTTTCCAGTTCGCTTATCTCTTCCCAAACCGCATATCAATCCTCTCCATCTCGTGCATCGTCGGAATCGGAACCACATGTAAGTCTACTGTTTTTTTTTGAAGAAGGTATAAAAAAGCGCACATTTTTCAGTCCTCTGGGTTGGACAAGGTCAATACATCAGTGAGAATGTGTCAGACAATAATCGCGAGAAAAATACTTCGATGCAATGGGCGTTTTTCAAAATGAGCCTCGTTTTTGGAGGTCTTTTTTTCTTGGGATTTTTTCATGGAGCATCAATTGAGAGTCTCGTGGATAATGGACAGGTAAGGTCACTGAGAAAGACCAACTTCAATGACCCGTATCTTGGGACTCATAATCGCTAGCTTTTTGAAAATTGGTGTCAATACTGAGCTAAACATGTATATGATGTGGCTCAAGTTTCAATTTTCTAGCTTCAATGAGAACACAGCTACGCGGTCGCTTAGTCGACTAGCGGCAGAAATGGTAGGGCGAGCTGCTACTCTAACTTCAACGGCCCGTATCTCGGGACCCATTATAGCTAGCTTAATGAAATTTTGTGTGAATACTGAGACAATTATGTTTATCACACATTTTAAAATTCAAGTTTCTAGCTTCAAAGAGTTTAAAGCTACGCTGTAGCCAAGTTGAATGTTGTTTTGTTGCTCACATAAGCGTAATGTATACATTAACTTTGAAGACTCATATCTCGGGAATCATTCTAGCTAGCTTGCTGAAAATTGGTGCGAATTCTACCACAGTCATTTATATTACGTTCACTGAATTAGCAATTTCTAGTGTGAACGAGAAGACAGCTACGCGATTGCTTAGTCGACTGCCGACAGATAGGGTGAGACGTTCTGTTACCACAACCATTGACATGTATTTCAGGACCCATAATAGCTACTGCCTGAAATTTGGCATGGTTACTACAACAACATTTTTGTTACGTCTCTTAAACTTCAAAATCCTAGTTTCAACGAGAACAGAGATACAGGCTCGCGACTGTCGAGCTACGCGGTCGATACCGGCGTCTAGCTCTTTCCGGTCTTTCATCCCCTACTAAATTCCCCTATTTTAGGTTCAAATCTTTGTAATCTTCTTTATGATCCTCACCATCCTTGCCTCGATCAGCACATGCTTCCTTCCCCAGACCGACATGTCCCAAGATCGAGCACCCGAACCATTCCTTCGAGCATCAGGTGATATTTCTGTGATTGCTCATTGCTAATACTCGATTTTTCAGCAAACTTCATTAAACAACTCCGCCAGAAACGAATCCTTCTTTTGTCGACCTTCTTTTTCTATACAGGAATCTCAAGATCGTTTTGGATTTGTGAGTTTTTTAGAATGATACAGCTCAAAAAGTTCTTCAACTTGATCCTATTTTCTCTTCTCTAGCTCATCTGGAAGCTGAAATACAGCGTTTTTAAGTTTAACCGGCTAGAGACGCAGAGTGTCTCGTTGTCTGCGTCTCTAGTCTCCTGAGCTTCAAATGGCTGTATCTCGGCTCCCAGTGGTCCGATTTGACTCGTTTTTTGACGGAATCTTTCAGCCATCTACCCGGCATGCATCAAGTTTACCTCAAGACTCTCCTCCAACACCACCACCACTCTGGCCCTTGGAATGGTTGTGACCGGTGTTGGACAAGTGGCTGGGTCACTCGCTGTGACGGCTTCAGGAAGGAGGGTTCGAAAACTCGGAGAGCACGCATTCATCATATTGGCTCTGATTATTCATATTGTGCTATTTGTCATGATCTCGCTCAGCTTTCCCAATGACGCTCCACTTGGACATACAAAAGGAACTGGGCCCGTTTTCGATCCAACGTGAGCTTCCAACTTATTGAGTAGCTCAGCTGGTAATGAAGCTAGAAACTTGAAAGTTGGTTTATGTAATTTAGATAGTTGCTTCAATATTTATACCAAGTTTCAGCAAAGTAGTCATACTGAGTTCAAAGTTACGGGACATTGAAATTAGGGCGCGCTTATCGCGTAGAAACCATATGCTGACGACTGACTTACCGACCACGTAGCTGCGTTCCTGTTGAAGCTAGAAATCTAAAATTTCAAGTCCGTGGTATACATGTCCGTTCTAACATTTGTTCTAATCTTGAGCAAGCTAGCTTTAAATTGTCTCGAGATACAGGTTGTTGAAGTTAGGGTAGCAGCGTGCAAGCCTACAGCCGACTTGACCACCGTGTAGCTCTGTTCTCGTTAAAGCTAGAAATTTGAAATTTAAAAATCACATTATTCATGCCTAGCAGAGTTTTCGGACTAAACTTCAACAAGCTAGCTCAAACAGGTCCCGAGATACAGGTCGCTAAACTTTTGCCAACAGCGGGCACCTCGGCATCGGTCTGCAAACGCTGACTGCAACCGCGTAGCTCCGTTCTTCTAAAAGCTAGAGACTTGAAATATGGAGGAAATGATATACATGACTGATTTAGTATTCTTCCTAAATTTGATCAAGCTAGCTTCAATGTGTCCCGAGATACGCGTCGTTAATAGCGCACACCTCACCCACAGATTTTTCGACCGCGTAGCTCAACAAAAAAAAATAATAAATTCCAGAGTCTCAATGACCATGACAATGTCATTCTTACTGGGTTTCGGTGACGCCATTCTCCAAACACAAGTCTACGCCTACATTGCCAAGTACTACCAAAAGGAGAGTGGATCCGTCTTCTCGTGTTTCAGATTCTTTGCGGTAAGTTTTAGGGTCGTAACTCGGCTCAAACTCAACATTTCTGTTTGAATCAAAAAGTAAAATGTATAACTTGACAAGAGCTACAAAATGATATATAATTTGAAAAACAGAAACTTTCAAAAGTTTCCCAAAATGAACTTCGGTTTTCTAGGGCATCGCCTCAACCATCATGTTCTTCGTCGCCCAATTCTTCAATCTCGCCGAACACCTTTGCATTCTGATCATTGGTGCGTGTGCCGCAGGAATTGCCATTGTTCTCTTCCACCAATCCGTCAACCGATCTTATCAGCAAAGTGAGTTTGTCACGGTCGGTCGGCAGCTGAAATCGCGGCAGCGTAGCTCAGCCGATAACAGAGTGTATCTTTGTTCTCGTAAGCGCTACAAACTTGAAATTTGGACCACACAATAAACATGCTCAGCTTAGTATCTCAGCTTAAAAATTTCAGAAAGCTAGCTATAACGAGTCCCCAGATACATGTCGTTGAAGTTAGGGTAACAACTCCCACCGCTTCATCTGTCGGCAGTTGACTTGGCCACCGCGTAGCTGCATGCTTAACAAAACTAGAGACTTGAAATTTAGGCCACTTATAATAAATGCTAAGTTTATTATTCACACCGAATGTCAAGCTGCTAGCTATAGCGGGTCCCGAGATACGGACCGTTGAAGTTAGGGTAACACCGCGCATTTGCATCTATCGGCTGTCGACTTACTCACTACGTAGCTGCGTTTCTATTAAAGCTAGAGAATGGAAATTTTAAAAAAAAATTGATAGACAGTAATACATATATTTGTTTTAATATTCAAACCAACTTTCAGCAAGCTAGCTAAAACGGGTCTCGAGATATGAGTTGTTAAAGTTAGAGTACCCTCCGGACGCCTACTGTGACCGCGTAGCTCAGTGAGTAATAAAGCTGTATCTTGGTTCTCGTAATAGCTAGAAACCTAAAATTTGGGCCACTCAATAAAAAGGCTGAGCTTAGAATTCAGACCAAATTTGAGTAAACTAGATAAAATGGGTCCCAGGATACAAGTCGTGTAAGTTAGGATACCGCTCCAGGAACCTATTATAACCGCGTAGCTGAGCCGGAATTAGAGAACTATCTTTGTTTTCTTTGGCGCTAGAAATTCGGAAATTGGGACACATGCTTATCATGCTTAGCTTAGTATTCACATCAAATTTCAATAGCCTAGCTATAATTAGCCCGAGGCACCGGTAGTTAGAGGTATTGCGACCGCATAGCTCAGCAGTTTGAAATTCTAATTGAAAAAAATAGTCATAAATGATTCCAGAAACTTCTGTGGTCGTCGTGTCCGTGATGCCAACCGCCAGACGAACAGCACCACAAAACGCAATCGCTCGAGTTGAAGCGTTGACCTGATTTTCTAATTTTCCGTTGTAATCCTTCAATAATAAAATCCCAATTTCCCGTTTTTTTTTAAATTTCAGTTGATCAAATAATATTAAAGCTCGTGATGTGTATGTCATTTCCCCCAAAAACTCCAAAAAACACCTGCCCAGTTGAAAACAGGGTTGAAAACGAGAGATGTAGAGAAAACTGGAAAAATTTTCGTTTTGTTTTTCGTTTCATTTCAGTTTTGCATCAGCTACAAGACTGATAAATTTTAAAGGCGCATATCTTAAAAACTAAAACAGCTAGGAAAAAAGTTGTGAATTAGAAAATGTAGAACAAAAAATCTCACACATTTTTGTAGTTTTCAAAATTTTGGTAGCCTTAAAATTAAGCGAGATATGAGCGTTAAAAATTATTATATCTTTTCGCGCCTTTTGTGAAATTCGAACTGCTGGATCTCCGGTTTTAAACGGGCTAGAAAATCGCAATTTTGATTAAAATATAGGAAATCAAAAATCCTGCATTTCTAAACAAGAACCAATCTTCTATGTGTTCTAGAACCCGAGGAGAGACGCAGACAGCGAGACACTGTAACGGTCTGCGTCTCTCCCTCACAGCCTCTTTTTCAGTTTGCCTATCTCTTCCCAAACCGCATATCAATCTTTTCCATCTCGAGCTTTGGTTCATTTTTCCTGAATTTTATTATTTTGAGAACTAGATACTCTGACTGTCTGCGTCTCTCTTGAACTTCGAATCGCTGCATTTCGGGTTCTGAGCTAGAATATTGACAATAGAATGAAAAAAAAATTCTACATTTCCAAACAAAAACCAATATTCTAGGTGTTCTAGAACCCGAGATACAGGCATTTAGAGCTGAGGAGAGACGCAGACAGTGAGAATGTCTTGTCGTCTGCGTCTCTTATGGCTTTTCCGTAGAGCGCACTTTCCATTGGAATTTTCTGAGAGAAACCAAAAAACCAAAATTTTTGATGAAACGACCATTGCCAAATAGATAATCCCATAGTAAACCAAAAAACCAAAATTTTTGATAGATAATCCCATAGTAGCAGACTACATACATAAAATCATGAGAATTTTTCTCGCTTTTTTTCACACCTGCAGAATAGACATCACATGATTTTCCAAATAATTTTTATGTTGGTATTTTTGAAGCTCGTATTTACTTATCTAAAAAATAGCAATTTTGAATTAAGACCTGAAGTAAGTTTTTTGGTTTTTCTGAGTCTCTAACTCTCTCTTTTTTGTTTCGAGCTAAACTACATATACTCTGTTTAATCAGCTGCTTTTTTGTTGCGAATTTTTTGGTTTTTCAATTTTTTTTTCTTTTTTTTTTTAATTTTCTTCAAATCACAGAAAATCAAATCAGAAATGTTCAAAAATCCGTTTTCTAGCTTTCCTAGAAGCCGAGATAACGCCATTCGAAGTTTTGAAGAGACGCAGACGACGTGACACTCTAACTGTCTGCGTCTCTCCACTACTTAAAATGCATGTATCTCGGGTTCTAGAACATCTAGAGGATCGGTTTTTGGTTAGAAATATAGGATTTTAGATTTCCTACATTTTAATGCTTTTGTCAAACTTCTAGCTCATCCAGAACCCGAGATGCAGCGATTTGAAGGTCAAGAGAGACGCAGACAGTCAGAGTGTCTAGTTGTCTGCGCCTTTCCTGAACTTGAAATAGCTTTCCTAATTATCCGAAGGGGATTTTGCTTTTGGCACGTTTTGGTTCCCCAAAACTCCTCCTAACAATCAAAATAAAACAATTCAGGAAAAAATGAACCAAAGCCAAAATTTTGCTGGCCAGCACCTAAAACTTGCCACACATGCCTACATCCTTCAAGAGCTAGGCTCAGCGATCGATGACAAAATATTCGATGATCCCAAAACAAATGAAATCGAGAAGATTCAGAAGATTCTAGACAATTCGGATTACCAACTCAGAATGTATGGATCGGCTGAGGAGTTGGCTCAAAACTTGAAAATCTACAGAAATTTTCCAGAGAGTTATCAGTTTTTTAGAACCCATTATGAACCATCTGATGTGAGATTTTTGTTTATTTAAGGAGAAAAAACAAGCGTTTATCATTTTTCAGAATACTGTAACTGTTTACAAAAGCTTAAAGGGCGAAAAATACGTTTACAAGAATGATCTTTTTGTGTTACTTCAACAGTTTGCATTTGAGAACTTTCTGGAATCGTTTCCAGGATCGGTAAGTGTCAAAAACTCTAATTAATTCTGCTCGAAAATCAGACTTCTACCGTATCTATAACCGGAGATATTGCTCTTTAAAGATTAGGAGGCTAGAGACGCAGATAACGAGACACTCTAACTGTCTGCGTCTCTCCAAAACTTTAAAAGGCTGTATCTCGGGTTATAGATGAGCTAGAACATTGATTTTTGTTTCGAAATGACGCATTTTTGATTTCCTACGTTTCATATAATTTAATAATTTTTGTAGCTCATCTAGTAGCAGAAATACAGCCTATTGAACTTTTGGGGAAATCTGTATTTTAGGTGAAAAAGTTAGAGTTCAAGAAATTCTTCATTTTGGTACTATTTCCACTGCTCTATCTCATCCAGGAGCTGAGATATGATTATCTGAAATTTCGCCAGCTAGAGACGCAGACAACGAGACACTCTAACTGTCTGCGTCTCTCCTAAACTTCAAATGGGTGTAATTCTGCCTATGAATAAGCCAGAAAACCAAAAATCCTACAATTCTAAATCAAAACCAATCTTCTCTTTTAGAACCCGAGATACAGCAATTTGAAATTTTGAAGAGACGCAGGCAGTGAGAGTGTCTCGTTGTCTGCGTTTCTCCTCAACTTCAAACGGGTATATCTCGGGTTCTAGATGAGCTAGAAGATTGGTTTTTGGTTAGAAATGTAGGTTTAAAAAAAACAATTCCAGAACACCGAAGACCTCCGCTTCAAAATCGTCTCGGCTCTTCGCATAACCGAAAACAAACTATTAAAAAAAATAGAATTCGTAAAACACAACCCGAAAGTGTTTGATGAGGTACAAAAAGAAATGAAAGAGTTAACGAAAATCGGGAAAATTGATCTGGATCAATTGGAATCAGAACTAGCTTCCGGCAACTTCGCCAACATACTGGCAAAATTCAAAATGTGCAATATGAAAGACACTTGGGACCATTCTCAAGTTCTTTTAAGTTTGACAACGTACTATCATAGTTTACCAAAGGGAAAAAAGGGTCCAGCAATGGCTCATTTTTTGTTACCCCTTGTAATTGTCAAATGCTTCACTGCGATCATTGATAAACGACCTGAAATGTTTAATCCATTCGCTGAGAATTATAAAGGACCAGTAGCTGTTCGTTTATTTGTCGATGGAGATCAAAAGTTCCTGCTCAAAGCCGAAATCGTGAATGCAATCAATAAAACAACTGGAAATAAGGGGGATTTCAAGGATGAAGGGCACAAAATTGAAACTATTAGTTTGGAGAATGTTCGAGAGAAGTTTGGAGGCAGAATCAAGAATATTGAGGTATTTCCGATTAAATCAAATGGCAGAACTTCAGAAGGACGCAGACAACGAGACACTCGAACTGTCTGCGTCTCTCACTTCAGCTTTAACTGACTGTATCTCGCGTTCTAGAGCACCTAGAAGATTGGTTTCTGTTTAGAAATATCGCATTTTTGATTGTCTACATTTTCATTATATTTTCAATCTCTTAGCTCATCTGGAACTCGATATACTGCAATTTTAAATTTTTGCAAAAAGTTGTGTTTTGGTTGAAAATGATGACGCTTGAAAAGGCCATTATTTTGGTACTATTTTCATTTTTTCTAGCTCTTCTGGGAGGCTCTTCTGGGATTATCACCAGCATTTTGTCAGTTAACAAAATTTTGATATCCTTCATAGGAACCGATATATTAGGGGTTTGCAAAAGTAATGCGCGTCAAGTTTGATGTTTTGTATCTCACCCAAAACAAACGGTTTGTGTTCAATTTTTTTTTGTTTTAAAAAGCGCGTTCTTGGGCTTCATTTTGTTATATTAAATTGCTGTTTCAATTTGATTTCTATGAAAAAAACATTCTAGAAGATGTCCGACCAAAAATTTCGCCTTCGAGCATTTTTGTGGCACCAATTTAAGGAAGGAAAATCGGCCGCCGAAGCTCACCGCTCACTTTCTCCTGTATTCGGTGAAGAAGCTATATCCGAAAGTCAGTGTCACCGCTGGTTTCAGCGCTTCAGGAGCGGAGATGAAAGATTGGAAGATGAATCGCGCCCTGGTCGTCCAGAGCAGGTGGACAACGATGCCTTGAGAGCAGCAATTGAAGTGGATCCGTGCCAAACTACTCTCAGTCTCTCGGAGCAGTTCGACTGCGATTTTTCCACAATTTCCAGACATTTGCATGCAATCGGAAAGACAAACAGATGTGGAAAATGGGTCCCTCATGAGCTTTCCGATTCGAACAAGGAAAGACGTGTTGAAGTTGCCAATATTCTGATGCGCCGCTCCAAAAATCGTGGTTTCTTTGATTCGATTTTGACATCGGATGAGAAATCGATTCAGTGTGACAATAATGGGAGAAAAAAACAGTGGCTGAGTCCTGGCGAGACCCCGAAACCGACTCCAAAACCGGTCATCCACGGAAAGAAGGTGATGATATGTGTCTGGTGGAACACACGAGGTCTCGTGCATTTTGAACTTCTGAGACCTGGTCAAACGGTGAATGCGGACCTTTACAAAGATCAGCTGGACCGTGTGGACCAAGCTCTCAAACGCCAAGGCGTGGACACTTCGACAACACTCTTGCTCCATGACAACGCTCGACCACACACTGCAAAAATCATTCAGCAGAAAATCAGGAGCTGGGCTGGGAAGTTCTGCCTCATCCGCCATATAGTCCCGATTTGGCACCATCGGTTTATCACCTATTCCGATCCATGCAACATCATCTGGTCGAGAAAAAATTCGAAAGCGGTGAAGAAGTGCAAATTTGGGTGGCGGACTATTTCGAGTCACAGCCAGAGGAGTTCTTCAATAAAGGCATCGATGAATTGCGCACACGTTGGCAGCGTAGCCGAGGCACCTCATGGGGCTTCCCCGAAACGTTCAAAATGCAGAATTATATTATAGAAGAACTCTACAAAACGATTGAAAAGTGATTCAAAATTTACAGTTCATCCTAACCCCGTATCTCCGTGCCAAACATCGAGCCGTTCCCATTCGAGAATTCGATTCTGATCAATTCTGCATTCTTGCACTCGACGCGTTTTTTGAATTCTTCAGACGCCTCATTTTCGGAATCAAAATGTTCCGAAAATATCGAGATCCGACATGCGAAATTTTTCCTGATATTTTTGATGCCTTCACTAAGAAAACCTTTCTGCCGGATCACAAAAATCTCTACTTTTTGAGAGACAAGCTGATCCGAGAAATATTGCTTTATATTGCTCCCGAATCGGAATTTCCTAATAAAGATGTCAGAAACGCCAAAAAGGACGGATTCACTGTTCAAAATCTGAAGAACGAGCTAGCGCATTTATCGCTGACCGAAAGTTTCCCAGAGATTCAGAATTATGCGGAAGCTGTGTATTCGGAAATCGAGAAGAACAAAAAAGGAGACGTTTTGAGGACATGTGATTTGTTTGATGCTATTGAGCAGTGTTTGTTGATTTGTGTCCTGGAGAATTATCCGAAAGTAAGTGCGCAATTTGTGACGGCGTAGCTCCCAATCGTCTTCTTACAAAAACTACCTTGGGTGGCCTGAAAACCGACAAATCGAATTCTAGGTCATGTGTTGGGCCCCAGGCCAGCTATCTTTCTGCCGGTCAACTGCCGGATCCTAGGCCACCACTCCCATCAGTCTTTTCATCAAACAATCTTGGGCGGCCTAGGATTCAGCCCCAGTGAATCAAATTACCTTGCATTTGGATTTCTAGACCGTGTTTTTCATGCTAGGTCAGCTTTCCTTCTTGGTCAAATTTCCGTTTCCAGGCCACTAGTCGAGTCCTAGGCCACAGTTCAAGTTAGTAGGGATTAAGCTATGTGCCTTGGTGGCCTAGAATCCGACACATGCCCTTGGAATCCAAAAAGTTTTAATTTGTATTTCTAGTCCGTGTGCCTCTTCTAGCTTTCCTTCTAGGTCATTGGTCGGATACTAGGCCACCATGGTAAATCTTATTAGCGCCCTTTAAATTATCTTGGGTGACCTAGAATCCGACGCATTTTGTATCATTTTGTAGTGCTAGTCAAGCTCTATCATATAAATTGTTTTTGGTCAAAAAATGTTAGGCTCCAAAGAACAAAAAGTTTTGCAGTTCAAAAAGTTTGTGCACAACCAGAAAGGGTGTCATCGAGTGATCGGATTAAACTGTGATTCGTGCAGAACTACAGTGAAAAAGGACCAAAAAATCGAGGCCCCACGTTCAAAGATCCTACCGGAGAAGGACCAAAAAATCGCAGATGCATCGCAATTTCTAGAAATTCTAGATAACGCACTGACACCGATGGGTCTGCATAAAGAGGCAATGTACTATATTATCGATGAGGTATTTTTCTGAAAGTTCAAATTTCGCGCCTTCTCAACTATAATTTATAGATTCGCCCAAATCTCGATAAAATTAAATATCCCAAAATTATCAGCGGAAATGAGAAGGAATTATTCCAATCCATGATGAAAGTCTCTAATCAGAAGCTTGGTAAGATTTTGAGCTACACTGTTAATGTTAATCGTGTGGATCGGAAAATTTACTTTTCAGAAATGTACGGATCAGCTGAAGAACTACTGGAAAACGTCAAAATCTATAGAAGTTTTCCAAAGAGTCACAAGTTCTTCCTCACTGATTTGGAGCCGTTTCAAGTGAGTCGAATTCCAGCTCAATCATCTCGGTTCCCGTGAGGGATATCAAAAAGTAGTCAACTGATAAAATGTTTATCATAACATCAACAACATTTTTACCCGTTGGCACATTTTTGATATTTCTCACATGAACGGAGATAACAGAATGGAAGTGGAGTTGCTTTAACTCGCATCTCTCTTCAAACTCAACATTTTTGAAAGATTCAAAGAGCAAAATTGCAGATTTTGAGAAGAGCTACAAATTGATGTGAATTACAGACCACCCCAACCATATACCGTAACCTCAATGATAAACCATACATTTGCAAGCACGACCTATTTGTTATCCTACAAAATTTGGTCGCCAAAATTTTCAAAAATAGCGATTTGGAATTTTTGACAATTGTTGCTTATCATCTGAAACAACAAGCAGAAAAACTTGGAGATTCTATGGAATTTGTGCCGTTGGATACAAATGTTTTGAGGGATATGCAAGAGGAATTGCGGATTGATATGTCTAGAAGACTTAAGGTGAGAATTGGTATACCCGTCTAGCTGACAGGTGTAACTTCCTTCAAAGTCATTATTTTCAAACCAAATAAAATGGATATTATAGAACTTAAAAAGCACTACAGCATGATACATATTTGAAAACTGTATCTTGTCTAATAACAAAGTTACAAGTCTAACAGGAAACGAGTAGCCCAAAAATCTAAACTCAAGAATTAATTGGTTTGTAACTTCCTTCATAAACAAGATATAGCCTTCCAGTTAATATCATTTTGTAGTACTTAAGTTGTTCTATTTTTCCAATTTAAAGTTGTCAAAAAATATTGACTCTGAAGGAAGTTATACCTAGAATTGTCGTCTTAGCTAAGCGTCTTGCCGGCCAATGCGCTTACTTTGACGACTCATATCTATAGAACCATTATAGCTAGCTTACTGAAATTTCGCGAAAATCCTGAGACTAACATTTTTATCACGTTTTCCAAATTTCACTATTCTATCTTTAACTAGAACGCTGCTACGCGGTGAGAAAGTCGACTGCCGACAATTGAAGTGATGCGCGCTGTTACCGTAATTTCATCGAACCGTATCATAAGACTCGTTATAGTTAGTTCATTGAATTTGGAAAAAAATATTACACCTCATAGTAACATTACGTCGTCCTAATTTCAGTTTTCTAGCGTTAACGAGAACGAAGATACAGCTATATTACCGCCTGAGCCACGTGGTCGAAAGTTCGGCTGCCGACCAACAACTACATATGACCTAGCTGTTTTTTCAGGCCCACAACCACAGGAAACTGAAAATCGAATTGTCACGTCTTAGTTACCAAAAAATCATTGAAAAATTCAAGAAAATCACACCAATCGATTGGGATCCAAATCGCCACGATCGAATTGAGACGCTCATTAAACACTACGGTAGAACTGCAAAAAACGAGAGAGCGAGAATCGAGGAGTTGTCTACACTCTACACAGCTACTCGGCTAACTGTAGAATGCCTTCAAAATGTTATTGAAAAACATCCGGAACTATTTTTGCCGGATAGAAAAACTGTGAGATTGTTCGAGGACGGAGATGAGCAGTTTGTGATGAGATCTGAAGTTTTGGATATTTTGAGAACGAAGGGAACCCCAGAACACATCTTTCTATCTACCATGAAACTAGCGGATATTAGCGGAAAGAATATTGAGGTTTTAAAAGTCGAAAAACCCATTTTAAAAATCGATAATTTTCAGTTCATTCGCTACCCGATTCATCGAGCTAAACACTGTGCGGTACCTATTCCAGGTCCGTCAGGTTTCTACGTTCTAGCTGTTGACTCGCTGCTGGAAACGCTGAAAATGATGATTTTCGGATTGAAGCTATTTCAAAAACGTGGGAATTGGGATGTGGAGCGGTGGAGAATACAATTGATGGATGCGATGGGTCCAATGTTTAACACGGTGTATAAGAAGGAGGAGGTGAGTGAAAAAATCGTCAAAATTCTGAGAGTCTTGCGGCACTCACAACTTTCTTTAAGCCCATTTTTTTGGAACGATGTTTATTTGAAAGTGTAGATTTTGAAAATGTCTACAAAACAATATAATTTTAAGCTAACTTCTATTTTCCTAGTTCTCAGCGAGTGAGCTCCACCCCAAAAGAAGCTCACCCAGGCCGTCTACTTTGAGCGCAATTATCTAGATTCCTGTAGGAGATACACAAAAATTGTCAACTAATAAAATATGGGCAATATTATGATAAACATTTTATCAGTTGACCACTTTTTGATATCTCTCACAGAAAATGAGATATATTGGCTCAAAGTAAAAGTCAGGAAAAACAAAAAAAAATTGAGGAATTACGGTAGTTAAAGGTGGGGGGACAGGAGATTTTACGGGGGATTTTTGGGGCCAGAGTATGCATTCTACCGTGACGGTGTACAACGCTTAATGTCACTCTGCGTACAGCTGTCGTCCTCGCCTTTATGTATGCAATCGGGAGGCCGCTTTCTCTTCGCCCGTGTAGCTCAGTCGGTAGCGGCGCTGCACCCTCAATCCTCGTCCCACACGTTCAACTCCTCGAGAGGCATATTCCCCCACATGTCCCCCCACCTTTAACACAATTTTTTCGGAATGATTTTTATTGCAAAATAAAGATTATAAAAAATTCACAAAATTATATAAAACTTGGCCAGAGTGAGCACCGAAGCCAGAGCATTTTTGAGCTCTGCTCAAGATGTTCAAAGCTTCCCCGACATTCTACTTTGAGCTCAATTAACTAGATTTTGGTGAGAGATATCAAAAAATAGGCAACTGATAAAACATTACTGATAATATGATAAACATTTTATCAGTTGACACCTTTTTGATATCTGTCACATGAAGCCAGATAAACATGCTCAAAGTTACCGGTTAGTGGGAATTCTACGTGATTGCAGTAGCCACCAGGATTTGAGTCTCTTTATCTTGCTTCCTGTACAAGATATCGAAAAGTAGTCAACAGACAAAATGTTTTTGATATCATGATAAACATTTTATAAGTTGATCACTTTTTGATAACTTTTACAGAAAACAAGATAGAATTGGGACAAAGTTGGCCAGCCATTCTTTTAGAGCCCAGATCCTTGTGGAGCTCATAACTCTCTTCAAACCCACCCGTACAGCAGTGATGGGAGGAATTTCAGTTTGCGTTTTCCGCCCAATTTTTAGAGATTTTTTTTCCGTTTCCGTTTCCTTTACAGTTTCCGTAAAAGTGAAATTTTTCTTCCGTTTCCGTTTTCCGTAAAACTTTTTTTTCACAGCGGAAACGGAAAAAATGTAAAAAAACAACGAAAACATCAAACTAAAACTGGCTTGAAAAAAAGCATGGAAAGTGATGCAAATATGGTTTTTAAACGTTAAAAAGTGTATATTTTTATGTTTGAAGGGAAAAAATCCTGAAAAATAGACGAAAAATAGAAATTTCCGTTTCTGTTTCCGTTTCCGTTCCCCTTTTCCGTATTTCGGAAAAATGCGTTTGCTCCTATCACTGCCGTACAGTATGATTTCTATTGCAAAGTGTAGAGTTTAAGAAGGTCTACGAAACCTTTTAAAAGTTCCAGAAAGATCCCTATTTCTTCCACCACGAGATCGTCAATGTCTGCCGACAACAATTCCTAGAATGTTTCGGAAACACCCTAAACCTCCCAACAGCCGACATTCGATCTGTCAAACCCCAAGGATTCACTCTAGAGGACCTGAAAATCGAACTGACTCATTTGGGACTAACCGACATGTTCCCGGACATTCTCTACCATACTGGAAGGGTGTATTCTGAAATTGAGAAGAACAAAAAAGGGAGATGTCTCAGAACTTGTGATCTATACTATGCTATTGAGAATTGCCAACTGATTTGCATATTCAATCGGATCATTAATGTGAGTTTTGGGTTTTTAATCAAAACAAAAATATCTATTTCCAGCTCAAAATATTTCTACACAATCAAAAAGGCTGCAAGAGAGTGCTGGGACTGGAATGCGAGTACTGTGATAAGGATGAGCAATGAATTGGATTACAAATCTTGTTTGAATAAATAAAAACAGTAAAACATGCTGAAATCAATGCCAGAATTTAGGATTTTTTCGCATTTTTCAGAAGATAAATGAAAATATGTTTTAAAACATTTTTAACCCTTTTTTATGCTCCTGAACATCATTTTCGGCCGTTTGGTTACTCTCTGTTTGGGAATTAACGGTGGTACGGTAAGCAATTTCGTCTCCCGCTTTCGTGTTTCCCGCTTTTGGGTGTCTCCCCGAATCGTACGGTCTCGTGCCGCGCATTGTAAAAGTAGTGTTTAAATGCCGATTTTCTTGTAAAAAAAACATTAAATTACTGTTAACAGTCGGTAAAGGCATTAGACAAGCTATTCCACACGAAAGCATTTAAAATATAGTGAAACTCTCAAAGTTAGACGGGAAAATGGATTGCTTCGTTTGTATCCATACTTGTGAAATTCCGGGCCGGCCCGTCAAAGCCCGGGCCCGGCCCGGAAGGCCCGGTAGCAAAAATTTTGTCATTTTGAACCGAATTTTGAGCTCTTAATACAATTTTCTAGGGAGACACGAAAGCGGGAGACGAAATTGCTTACCGTACCACCGTCAATTCCCAAACCGAGAGTAGCCAAACGGCCGAAAATGATGTTCAGGAACATAAAAAAGGTCTCAAAATTTTTTTAAACATATTTTCATTTATC